CTCTTCCCTTAACGTATTCCGTATCGCAATTCATCTCCAATCTCGTAGTGTGCCAAATTCGGTCCTACATTTCTATGCTCTAACCTCTTCTAGATGCCCCTCTTATAGTCTAAAGCTGAAACCATTGTCTTTATTTAATCAACACAAGAGAGGATATCTATATGTTGATCAGGAAGTGATTGTGTTTAAGGTTATTGAATTGAGAATATTACCACAGCAAGCAACTCAATTAAGAATTAGTTCCCACCATCTCATCTTTGACGTTTTTTATCAACCTGAAGAAACCCAAACAATCAACCGTGTAATATACGACTCAAGATCAATCAACGTATAATTAGTTAGTTAGTCTTTTTTTTTTTTACTGGAGATCCTTCTTGAGGAGTGAGATCAAAAGGGTCACCAACAATACAATTTGTAACTCGTTCCTACAAAGCCAAGTCGTGCTTCAAAGATGCAAACTCAATCAATTCATACATTTAGATTCCGATCCATCTCGTTTTGATTAAAGAAGAACAAACATACGATAGGTTTCAAGCTAAGAAAACAATATAGATCCAATACCTAGACGATGATGAAACCAAAACTCATACACCATAACATATCACTGTTAGAATCGATAGCTCCAATCCCCAAATAGTCATATACATCTATGTGCAAGTTCAAATAGTCATATACATCTATTGGAAAATCTCATAAACTTCATAAACTAACCGTATCTTACTTAGGGTTTATAATAATTTCTTTGGGTTTTTTTAAACATAAATAACATGCACAAGTCCATAATTCCTTGAATAGTAGACTACATAAGTTTTGAACGTAACATAAATTTGGAACATAAGACGATTAGAATTTAAAGTAAAGGATATAAAACAAAGACATGTATAAACGAAGATATTTTATGAATATATACCGGATATTATCACAAATCTTTTGGAGAAGATAATCTGTGAAGAAAAAATAATCAATAATAGGAAATATAAAAACAATGAGTAAGATTAAATACATGGAAAGCCATAAAACGAAGAGAAGCATATAAGATTAAACCACACACATGAAAAATCATAATTGAAGGGAACCATAGAAATCATGAGTAAGATTAAACACATGAAAAACCATAATCGAAGAGTAATATAGAAGATTAAACCATACACATGAAAGACCATAATCTAAGGGAAACATATTATAATTTAGCATAGGAGAGAGAGGGACACATAACCTATCACAATTTAATGAGCACAGTTGAGAGTTGAGATGAGAATATCATATTAAACGTGTATATATAGAAAATAGATATAACAAATATCTAGGGTTTCTTTAAAAACGATTTGGGCCAAAAAAAAAAAAATGAAACAAACAAAGTGAAATAAAGCCCATCATGGATCGCAAGAATCGATTGGTTTTTTTGCGCAAAAACGATTGATGGTAATGACCGTAAATAAATTAAATTCTGGAGGGTACCCCTGTAATAAACCATCTCCAAATCGCTGTAAAACCGTCACGTATGATTTTTTACTTCATATTTAATTATATAGATAGACAGATCATAATTAATGTACAGTAAAAATTATACCATATGATTGACGGTTAAACCAATTAACCAACCACTTTTATAGAAAACTTGATTAAAGAAAAGTGGAAAATATTAAAAAGTTATACAGTAAATACTGTAACCTAATTACAGGAAAAACAAGGAATAATTACATTCATCATCACATATAGGCACACTTTTACTATGGTAAATTTACATTTTATCCGTCAACTCTCTCCATGGATTCATGTGTACATCTATTTTCAAGTTTCGTCATCTGAATCTTTTCCATTTCTAGGTTTTTGTTTTCATCGTCACTAGATTTTTGACATGCATCAAACGCGAGATTAGAATAGTTGAAAATAATAAAATCATAAACTTTTATAAATATACGGAAAATATTAGAGACAACAAATACCAAATAGTATATCTTCCTTATAGATAGATATATTTTATCTTACAAAATTTACTATGCATGACACTTAGATTGAATGTAAGTGTTTCTAATGTAAATCGAATACGTTTAAGATTATGAGTCATTCTTCATAACTTTTATAATATACCGGAGAAATTAGAAACAACAAAGATCAAATGGTATATCTTCCATATAGATAAATATATTTTATCTTACAAAATTTAATCTACATGACACTTAGATTGAATGTAAGCGTTTTGAATGTAAATCGAATGCGTTTGAGATTATGAGTTCTTTCAAACTTATTTGAGCTCACCAAACCCAAAAAATATCGTTTAAGTATGTAAATCTTCTTAAACAAAAAATCAAAGAAATAATAAAAAGTAAAAATGATGATTTAAAATTCAAGCTAATATGTTTGATTTGTAAAGTTGTACGTTTATAACAAAAGCGCAACTTTAATTAGAATGATATGG